CATGTAGAGGGTGCTGTGGCTCAGGTCCTACTGGAAGCCCAACAAGCCTAGATGGTCCACACCAGGACCTCTGGCCATGATGACCAAGGAAGAAAACTTGAGGTCAGTAGGAAGCTGTTAGACCAAGATGGGGACAGCCTTGCCCTTCCCTACCACAAAATGTCAGTGTCTCCTGCTGATGGTCCTGGTTTAAAGACGATGCCACTGACCTCAGGTAGGTGCTCAAGGCCCAAATGTCTGCTGAGGAAAAACCACACCACCTTCCCAGGCCAACTTGACCTACCCTCTTCACAAGTGTGGCTGAAGTACCAGAAGGATATGTGTTGTTACCCTTATGGGTACCAGCTGGAGTTCTTGTACTTCAGATCTTGTCCATACTAAAGGCAGAAAGAAAGAAACTGTTAAAAGACCAGTGAGTGGGGCTGGAGAGATGGCTCAGCAGTTAAGAGCAATGGCTGCTCTTTCAGAGGACCCAGGCTCAATTCCAAGCTCACAACTGTCTGTAACTCAAGTTGCAGTGGATTTGAATCCCTCACACAGACATACATGCAGGCAAAACACCAATGCACATAAAATAAAAAATAATTACTTAAAAAAAAAAAAGACCATTGAGTAACAACTATTAGCTTGAACTCTGTATATTTCAAGCCTCTTAACTCCAAAGAAACAGAAGACTATCTTCCTTAAAAAAGAAACTTTTGGGACTGGAAAGATAGTTGCGTGGTAAAAGTATTTGCCACCCAAGCATGAAGACCAGCACCATGGATGGAGAAATGAGATTTCTGGGGTAAGCTGGTTAGCTTGGCTAGCTGGACTAGCCAAGTCGGAGAGCTTTGGATTCAAGTGAAAGACTCTCCAGTATATAAGGTGGAAAGTGATTGATGAAGACATCTGATATCACCCTCTGGTCTGCACATGCACACATACACACACACACCTACCTACCTGGACATTTGTGTATACACAGGTGAACCATACATATGCAGCCCGCACACATACAACCTTCCTACCTACTGGAAGTAAGGAAAGCATTCCCATAGACACCCCCTCAAATCCAGTTTTCTACACTTTTCAGGCCTTTAAAGAGCAATGCATCCATCCCTGAGTGGGGAACCCAGGCCTCAGCAGTAATACCTGGAGAAGGTGGCCAATGTGAGCATCTCAAGCAGCAGCTCTGAGCCACAAAAGAAGAGCAAGATGCTGTTCATGATAGCTTCCAGGCGAAGGACATAGGTCTGCAGCAGCAGGTAATAGGAAGCCATCATGGCAGACGGGAAGGTCAAGGCCACACTAATGCCAAGGGGCATCTTTCGCTGGCAGAGGTTTCCCTTTGTACCTGTAAAACACAGCCCCCAGAGTCACCTCCAAGTGGTGACTGCTTTCCCTGGCAGTCTGTTTTTTTTCTCCTCAGGAGGAGTCTGGATGTGACAGATAGGAGTGTCATATTTAAAGGTGAAGTCCCACTGAACTAAAACTTTGAAGCTTCAGGACGTTACGTGACTGAAGTAATTTACTCCAGAGGCCCTGTTTCCATTCTGACTCAACCCAGGGAACAAGGGGATTCTGCATTTTAAAAAAAAATGGAGCCGGGCGGTGGTGGCACATGCCTTTAATCCCAGCACTCGGAGGCAGAGCCAGGCGGATCTCTGTGAGTTCGAGGCCAGCCTGGGCTACCAAGTGAGTTCCAGGAAAGGCACAAAGCTATACAGAGAAACCCTGTCTCGAAAAACCAAATAAAATAAATAAATAAATAAATAAATAAATAAATAAATAAATAAATAAATAAATAAATGGGGGGAAGCACAGACAGGTGTGGGTCTGTGGTGATATACTGTGTGCCCTAATAAATTTGCCTGAAGATCAGAGAACAGAACAAGCCATTAGATTAAACATAGACACCAGGCAGTGACACCTTTAATCCTAGCACTTGGGAGGTGGAGATCCATCTGGACCTCTGTGAGTTCAAAGCCACCCACATGAGATTGACTCATTCTAGGAGAGAAGCCAGGCAGTAGTGCACACACCTTTGATCCCAGCACTAAGAAGGAAGTGATATGGTGGATGGAGAAAGGTATAAAAGGTGTGAGGAGACAGGAACTCAAGCCTTTTCGGCTGAGGAACCCTTTCAGCTGAAGCCCTTTTGGCTGGAGCTCTTTCAGGCTGAGGACTTGGTGAGGTAAGAGGTGGTGGCTGTGGCTTGTTCTGCTTCTCTGATCTTTCAACTTTCATCCTGATATCTGGCTCTGGGTTTTTATTAAAAGACCATTTTAACATTCGAACAACATGATCTCTTGAGTTTGAGGCCAGCCTGGTCTATATTGAGAGTCTAGGACAGCCAAGGCTAAAGTGTCAGAGTTGAGAGTTCAAGATCATCCTGGTCTCCTTGATTCAAAAAAATCAAAAGTAAAGTGTGTGTGTGTGTATAACATATATGCATTTGTAACCATATGTATATATACAACAACTTATAAAAATTATATATGTAAAATGTGTCTACAATGTATGTGTGTATACATACACTAAAAACTTTTCAACTAACATAGAAAATAATGTAAGAAAATATAGAAAATGCATTAAAATATCTGTTACTTGGGGCTGGTAAAATGGATGGCTCAGAGGTTAAGAGCCCTTGCTGATTTTCCTGAGGACCTAGGTTCAATTCCCAGCACCCACATGGCAGCTCAGTAGTCTGGAACTCCATTTCCAAAGGATCTGATACCCTCTTCTTTTTTCCTTTTAATTCTTACTTGTGTGTTTATGTGTTCACAAAGGCCAGAAGACAACATTGGATCCTGGAGTTGGAGTTACACACAGTTGTGTGTTGCCTGATGCTGGGAACCAAACTGGGGTCCTGCAAAAGCAGTAAGCCATCTCTCTAGCCTGACACCTTTTTCTGACCTCTGTAGGCACCAGGCAAAACATTCATACACGTAAAATAATTTTTTAATTAAAAAAAAAGTGTGTTCCAAAAGCCAAATATGGATACTGTAGGTTGTTGCTATTGCCAATGTAATATGTGAAAAAAAAAAAAAAATGTTGCCTTGTTTCAACTTGCTTTTCTTTACTGACTTGGAGCACATTAGCAAGTTTTGTCTTTTTTTGATACAGGATCTCATTATGCAGCCCTGACTGGCCTGGGACTCACTATGTGGTCTTGAATGCCCAGCGAGCCCCTTGCCTCTGCCTGGGAGTACTGGAATTAAAGGCATGTACCACCATGCTCACCTTGGCAAGGTTTTTGATCCTCTACAGTGACTTAGGTGAAGTGACTGTTAGTATCCCTTTACCATTTCCCCTCTTGAGTTTGTATTTGAACCTGTTTTCAGAGGTGATACATTCTAAGTAATAAGGGGTTTTGCTCTGTTTCTGGGGCTTAAAAACTTCTACAGAAATCCTTGTTTAGAGAAGTAGAGGGAATCTTAGAGCTCTTTAGGTATGCTTTACTTTCCCAAACAAAGCAAGAAGTAAGAACTCTTGTAGCAGTCAGGCAACTGGAAAGGAATGATCGAAGATCAAATGCTACTGCCGTCCTCCAGCCCCACTCAGTAACACACAGGTAAATCTTGACCTAAAATATGAAGCAGTAGCTTAAAGCTTCAGGGAAGAAGTAATGGGATATATATTACCAGATCCAACCTCTGATAGTGAGTCTAGGTTATGTTCTTTGTCTTGTTAATCAAGTTACAGGCTCCAGCATGTCTCATAAGGAATGGAAATATTTTCTGGACAAAACTTACCAAAAAACAGTCTTATTACTTCAACGCCAAGATAAAGGAACAGCATCACCACATCCAGGACTAGGTTGGCTGTTGGGTATGGCAGCAAGAGACCTGCTGGTGGAAAAGCCAGAGTCTGCAAACGCCACCGAACAGTCCCCACAAGGACTGCCACACACCCAGGAACAACATGGACACTAGCCTTAGCTTCCCATGAACCAGCTATCGAGGTGTGGGTTGTTCCAGCTGCGGGCTTTTTTACTAAGTGTGGGGGTTCTACGCCACCAAATGGCTGAATTATAATGGTACACAGATCTGAATATTTCATCAAAGAGAGATGGGGAAGAGTCAGGATGGAGAAGCCCACATTTCCCAAACTCAAGAAATTTCCTACAGAATCATTCTAAAGCCATCACTTGGAGAGACTTCTGCCTTGCAGTGAAAAGAGATGCTGCAGGGGCCAGAAAAGAATGAAAGGTTCTTGGTGGGAGTTGGTGCTCAACTAAAGTGGTTAAGGGCTGTTGGGGCAGAGGCAGTCAAGACCAGCCTTACCTTTATACAGGAAAATAAGGAGCTCCAGAAGGAAATAGGTCGCATAGTACCACCCATTCAGAAAGAACAGGACTTCCAGAGGTGTTGAGGACAACCTTTTATCTGAAAAAAGCAACACAAAGAATGGGCAGAAGGGCAGCTGGAGTTCTACTCCCTGTATGGTTCTGTGTAATCGGAAGAAAACACAAGGTCATGGTGAATGAGGGAGAAACTTCTGATTGCTTTTGAAGTGGGAGTATTGATGTGAAGGGGTGGCCTTCACCTCCTTGCCCAGGAATTACTTTCAGGTCGCCTTTTCTGGCAATTTAGCTATCATCACAGCTGAGAGGCACCTCAGAGATCCAACCCTGTCACTACTGAAGGGGAAATTGGGGCGCAGAACCAACAGCGTGTCTGTCCAAGGCTAGAGGATTCATAACTAAACAGTCCCAGAATAGGGCCAGCCCGGGATTTTTAAGGGTACAGTATCCGAGTTCTACACAGGCGGGCACTCGGGGTGGTCAGGGCAACGCAAGCCCCACTCGGACAAATGAAGAGTGAGACCCCCAACTTTTAAGAATGGGGTATTAGGTCGAGCTCTGGAGAGCACAGAGGTGGAGGGCCTGGCAGGTATCGATGGGACAGGGGGCAGAGACACACACCTCCGGAGTCTCACCTCGCGGCGCCATGTTCAGTCCCCATGGAAACTGCGTACGCGGCAGCTCCGGGAGCAAATGTGGCGGGGCCGGAAGCGCCGCTCTGCCTATCCGTGCCACTCTATGATCATCGCACCGGCTGCGCACGCGCGCGGAAGAGCATTCGCCGTCAACTGCCCGCTGTGGTCTGCGGGAGGATGACGGTTTTGTACGAAGCCAGAGAGTCCAGAAGACCCAAGCAGCTCTCGAACTCTCTTCCCCGCGCCCTGGCGTTGGGCCTGAGTGGCCGGGTCGGGTAGTGTGGTCGGAGGATCGGCCCTGGGCCCACCATTCTTCTTTCCCACTGCTTTGTGAAAAAGAAACGCCTTATGGCACTGCCCTGCACTAGGCTTGCCCGGGGGCGATTGGCGTAACAAGATACTGCTGGAGAAACCAGAACCGTCAGAATGCCCTTTCTAGAAGTACAAGGAAAAACAGTGGTACTATAACGTGATCCTCCTGCGACCCAAAAAGTGCTAGGGTGTTGAGAGACTGCATACACCCAGGCGGGAATTGAGAGGCATTTCCAACAAGCTGAGTATGAACCCTGGTTGCGGATTGAAGCTGCAAGAGCATGTTGCAGGCGCGGGAGTGGAAGAGTAAGGTTTCTGAAGGGATTCAGGTTGACTCAGCCGGCAAGCTTTAAAGTGTAGCAGGCAGGCAACGAATAACTGGGGAGTAACTAACTTGAAATGAAAGTGCTACACCCCTAGCTAGTAGGAGCGTGGGTAAAGATGGTAATTGTTATTCTCCTCGCCTGGGGAGAGAAATTTTATGTAGAAAGCCTCCCTCCGCTGCTCCTCACCTCCACCTCTGCTCTTCAGGCTCCTTCACCCCTGTTTTTGCCTTCCACTGGCATATTGTTTTTGTTGTGGTTTGGTTAGACAGGTCTCCCTATGTAGGCCAGGCAGGCCTCAAATCCTCCTGCTTTTGCTTCCCGCCCAGTACTGGGATTATAGGTGGGTACCACAATGCTCTGGCTGGTCTTAACTGGAACCTTGAAGGTCTAACAAGGGCCAGGGCAAGCTGAGGCCATGGAAAGGAGCTCTGCCTGTACCCCATCTGCACTGCCCTTATACACACTCCTGCTCTGGGCCTTAGATGAAGGGAAGGTGGCCGGTTGTTTTGTTGTTGTTGTTGTTTTAAGGGTGAATTTTTTTTTCTTTTTTAAAAATATTTATTTATTATGTATACAGTATTCTGCCTGCATGACAGAAGAGGGCACCAGGTCTAATTATAGATGGTTGCGAGCCACCATGTGGTTGCTAGGAATTGAACTCAGGACCTTTGGAAGAGTAGCCAGTGCTCTTAACCTCTGAGCCATCTCTCCAGCCCCGGCCAGTTGTTTTTTTGTTTGTAAATAGAGGGTCTTAAATCACCCAGTCAGTACATACATCTACGTGTGGTGTACACATACATCTCTTTCATGCTACAGTGAAAAGTTCACCCATTGTCAACAGAGATTATATAGTCCATAGCTTTCCTATCTCCTGGCTCCTTAAGAAAAATGATGCTGTTCCATGTCAAAGGATGCCATAACTCCATGGGTGCCAAAAGGGGACACTGAGACTGAGTCAGTAAACAGCAGGAAGCTCAGAATAGCAGCCTGGTCTGCTGCCCCCAAGTCAGTGAGCATGATACAGTAGCCCAGATAACGACACACACAGCAGGTTTGCCGGGGCTGAGGAAACCAGGGCCAAAGACTCAGCGTTCTTCTTAAACATTATTGATTGATTGATTCATTCATTCATTCAAATCGTTGCATTTTCTGGGCTCTAATCCAACAGTCCCCACAGAACTGTATCTCTAGTCTTTCAGTACTTTTCTTTAGTAAGCCACAAATAAAGCTGAGCCCCAACCTCTACAGAGGAACAAAATTTTACTATAGTTACATAGTTAGTTGACCTACTTAATTGCCCTGTGTACTCATTATTAAGACCTTTCAGGGCCATGTACCATTGGTTAGAAATACAAAGACCCATGACAGATTCAGTCCAGTATTCACTGACCTTGCTAAACTAACACATTGTTGCTGTGGGCTATCTTTCTGTGTGCTGTGAATATGTGTTGCTCTGATTCGTTGATAAATAAAGCTTCATTGGCCTATGGCAAGGCAGCTTAGAGGCAGGTGGGAAATCTAGGCAGATATAGGGAGAAAAGAAAGGAGAGGAGGGAGAGACGTAAGCCTCCTCCCGAAGGAGCAGCAAGATTCCAGCAAACAGGTAATGCCACAGCCTCATGCCAACTTATAGATTACTAGAAATGGCTTAAGTTATAGTAGCTAGCTAGCAAGAAGCCTGCCACAGGCCACACAATTGGTAATTAATATTAAGCCTCTGAATGATTAGTTTATAAACAGCTATGGGAACTCAGGACTTCAGGGCTGGGCAAGACCAGAGAAAACTTCCGTCTACACATTGTGATAGCAATTCTTTTTTTTTTTTTTTTTTTTTTTTTCCTTTTTTTTTTTTTTTTTTTTGAGACAGGGTTTCTCTGTGTAGCCCTGGCTGCCCTGGAAGTCACTCTGTAGACCACGCTGGCCTCGAACTCAGAGATCTGCCTCTGCCTCCGCCTCCAGAGTTCTGGGATTAAAGGTGTGCACCACCACCACTGCCCAGTGTGATGGCTATTTTTGGTTGTCAACTTGACTACATCTAGAATTAACTAAAACCCAAAGGCCATGAGGGACATTTTTTTTCTTCATTAAATCAATTGAAGTGAGAAGACCCACTTTTCCCCCCTTTTTGTTACTTTTTTAAAAAGATTTATTTATTATATATACAGTGTTCTGCCTGCATGCCAGAAAAGGGCACTAGATATCATTATAGATGGTTGTGAGCCACCGTGTGGTTGCTGGGAATAGAACTCAAGGCTTCTGGAAGAGCAGCCAATGCTCTTAACCTCTGAGCCATCTCATCAGCCCACTTATTTTATTTTTTGAGATTATAATATAATTACATCATTTTTCCCTTTTCCCCTTCCAAACCTTCCTATATACCCTTCCTTGCTCTCTCTCAAATCCATGGCTTCTTTTTTCATGCATAAATGTACATGCATATACATATATATTCCTAATTACAACCTGCTCAATCTGCATAATTTCATTTGTTCTTTCCAGGGCTGACAATTCTGTATGGGATAACTAATTGGTGTGCTCTTCCATGAGGAAGGTTATTTCTTCCACTTTTTTTTCCTTTAAACAACTTTTAAATTTAAATATATTTTGATCATATTCTTCCCCTCCCCCAAGTCTTTCCAGATCCTCTCCCTGCCCACCCACCTAACTTTAAGTTCTTTCTCAGAAAACAATCAAAAACGAAATACAACAGCAACACCTCAAACCAAGAAGACAAAATAAAACAACACCCAAACAGAAAAAAAAAAATACCAAACTGTAACCAAATAAAAGCACGCACACAAAAAACTGTGGAGTTCATTATATGTTGGTCAACTGCTGCTGAACATGTGGCCTGTCCTGGAGTGGTTGATATACCCAGTGTCACTCTATTGAAGCAAATGGATTTTACCTCTCCCAGCAGATAGGACAGTTCAGTTATTAGCCTTCATTCTGGTTAGGTTTTTCATTCAATCCTTCATTTATTTTTAAAATAAAATAACAAAACTATCACATCAAAGTTGGACAAAACAAACCAACAAAGGAAAGGAACCCAAGGGAAAACACAAGAATCAGAGACCCACTTGTTTGCGTGCTCAGGAGTCCCATGAAAACACTGAGCTGGAAGCCGTGTATACTCAGAGGACCTGGTGCAGACCCAGGCAGGCCCTGTGCTTGCTGCTGCAGTCTGTGAATTCACAGGAGCTTTGCTCAGTTGATTTACAGAGTCCTGTTTTCTTGGTGTCCTCCATCCCCTCTGGCTCTTACATTCTCTCCACCTCCTCTTCCTTGGGGGTTCTCTGAGCTCTGAAAGGGAGGAGGGATTTGATGGAGACATCTCATTTAGGGCTGAGTGTTCCAAGGTCTTTCACTTCCTGTGTAATGTCTGGCTGTGGGTCTCTGTTTCCCATCTGCTGCATCATCTCTGATGATGGCTGAACAAGGCACTAATCTATGAGTATAGCAAAATATCATTAGGTGTTGTTTTATCACTACATTTGTTTTTCTTTAGATCAGTACTATTTGGTTTTACCCTAGGGCACTGGGCTGTCTCAGGTTATTGGTCACCCAAACAGTGTCAGGTATGAGTTCCATCTTATGCAGTAGGTCTTAAGTCAAACCAGTTATTGGTTGGTTACTCCCAAGAGATTTGTGCCACTATTGCCCTAGCCTATCTTGCAGGTAGTATACCATTGTAGATAAAGGTTTTGTGGCTGGCTTGGTGTTTGTTTCTTTTTTGATAGCATGCGGAATACCTTCCTGTACCAAAGACACTGGAACATAGGGATGAAGGCTCTATGTAGGCACCAGCTCCACACCTCCATTGTTCAATGCATTGTATAGGTGTTATCTACAGCACTTTTGATAGAATGGTCATTTTTGCTATGTTAACCCTACCAATCCATAACCATGAGAGATCTTTCCATCTGCTGATATCTTCTTCAATTTCTTACTTCAGTGACTGGAGGTTTTTGTCATACATATCTTACTTAGTTAGACATATCCCAATATATTTTATATTACTTGAGGCTATTGTGGAAGGTGTTGTTTCCCTGATTTCTTTCTCAGACTATTTGTCATTTGTATGTAAGAGGGCTCCTGATTTTTGTGAGTTAATTTTGTATCCAGCTACTATGCTGAAAGTGTTTATCAGCTATAGAAGCTTCCTCGTGGAATTCTTTGGGTCACTTAAGTATACTATCATACCTTCTGCAAATAAAGATACTTTGACTTCTTCCTTTCCAAATTGCATACCATTGATCTTCTTCACTTGTCTTATTGCTCTAGCTAAGACTTCAAGTGCTATATTGAATAGGCATAGAGAAATGAACAACCTTAACTTGTTCCTGATTCTAGTGCAATTGCTTTGAGCTTTTCTTCATGTAAGTAGCTGTGGGCTTGCAATAAATTGCCTTTATTGAAGTATGCCCCTTGTATTTCTACTCTCTCCACGACTTTTATCATGAAGTGCTGTTGGATTTTAAAGGTCTTTTTTGCATCTAATGAGATGATCATACAGTTGTGGTCTTTCAGTTTCTTTATATAGTGGATTACATTTATTGATTTACATACATTGACCCATCCCTGCATCTTTGGGATGAAGCCTTCTTGATCAGAGTGAATGGTCTTTTTGATGTGTTCTTGGATTTGGTTTGCAAGTATTTTATTTTACTTTGGTTTGTTGTTGTTGTTGTTGTTGTTGTTGTTGTTGTTGTTGAGACAGGGTTTCTTTTTATAGTCTGGCTGTGTTAGAACTCATTTTGTAGACCAGGCTGGCCTCGAACTCAGAGATCAGTCTGCTTCTGCCTCCCAAGTGTTGGGATTAAAGTGTGCACCCAGATGCTTGGCTAGTTTGCAAGTTATGTTGTTGAGTATTTTTTGCATCTATGTTCATAAAGGAAATTGATCTGTAATTCTCTTTCTTTGTTGGGTCTTTATGTGGTTTGGGTATCAGGGTAACTATGGACTCAAAGTGAATTGAGCAATGTTCCTTCTGTTTCTATTTTGTGGCATAATTTGAGGGGTACTGATGTTAACTCTTCTTTGAAAGTCTGGTAGAATTCTGTACTAAAACCATCTGGCTCTGGGCTTTTTTTGGTTGGGAGACTTTTAATGACTGCTTCCATTTCATTAGGGGTTATAGGTCTATTTAAATTGCTTATTTGATCTGATCTTGATTTAACTCGGTAAATGGTATGTATCAAGAAAATCATCCATTTCTTTTAGATTTTCCAATTTGGTGGAGTACAGGTTTTTAAAATGTCATTATGATTCTCTGAATTTCCTCAGTGTCTGTTGTTATGTCCCCATTTTCATTTCTGATTTTAATTTGGATCTTTTCTCTCTACCTTTTAGTTATTTGGATAAGGGTTGGTCAATCTTAGTCAATCTTACTGGTTTTCTCCAAGAACCAACTGTTTCATTGGTTCTTTGTATTTTGTTTGTTTGTTTTATTTTATTGGTTTCAGCCCTGAGTTTGATTATTTGTTGCTGAATACTATTTGGGGGTATGATTTCTTCTTTTTGTTCTAGAATTTTCAGGTGAGCTGTTGCTAGTATGAGATGTCTCCAATTTTTTAATATAAGCACTTAGTGCTATGAACTTGCCTCTTAGAACAGCCTGCATTGTGTCCCATAAATTTGTGTATGTCATGTATTCATTTTCATTCAATTCTAGAAAGTCTTTGATTTCTTTATTTCTGTCTTGACCCATTTTTCATTCGATAGAAAGTTGTTCAGTTTCCATGAGTTTGTAAACCTTTTGTTGTGTCTATTGTTGTTAATATTCAGCTTTAACTTATGGTGGTCAGATAGGATGAAGGGTATTATTTTGATTTTCTTGTATCTATTGAGACTTGCTTTGTGTCTGAGTATGGGGTCAATTTTGGAGAAAGTTCCATAAGGTTCTGAGAAGAAGGTATATTCTTTTGTTTTTGGATGAAATGTTCTGTAAATATGTCAGATTCATTTGGTTTATAAATAACCTCAGTTCGCTCCAGCATTTCTCTGTTTAGTTTTTGTCTAGATGACCTGTCTATTGGCAAGAGCAGAGTATTGAAGTTTCCCACTATCAGTGTGTAAGGGTTAATATGTGATTTAAGCTATAGTAGTATTTCTTTTGCAACTTGAGTGGCCTTGTGTTTGGGTGTTGGGGAATATTCCTTTATACTGTGTGAAGATATGCCACTATGACTGGTTTAGTAAAAAGCTAAACAGCCCATTGCTAGGCAGGAGGTATAGCAGGGACTTTTAGAAAGAGAGAACTTTGGGAAGGTGGGATTGCCAGCTGGACATAGAGGAAACCATACATGCAGGAAGAGAGGTAAAAGTCATGAGACATTCAACAGCATGTAGATTAATAGAAATGGGTTAATTTGTCAGGCGGTAGTGGTGCACTTGGGAGGCAGAGGCAGGTGAATCTCTGTGAGTTCAAGGCCAGCCTAGGCTACAGAGCAAGTTCCAGGACAGGCTCCAAAGCTCCAGAGAAACTCTGTCTCAAAAAAGCAAACAAACAAAAAGAAATGGGTTAATTTAAATTATAAGAGCTAGTTAGAAACAAGCCTGAGCTAAGGCTGAGCTTTCATGATTAGTAAGTTTCCATGTCATTTTTTTGTGAGCTGTCGGCCCAAAGAAAAATCCATTTATGTTTGGGACATAGATATTAAGAGTGAATTGTCATCTTGGTGGATTTTCCTTTGATGAGTATGTAGTGTCCTTCCCCATCTCTTCTGATTAGTTTTGACTTGAAGTCTATTTTGTCAGATATTAAAGTGGCTACACCAGCTTGTTTCTTAGGTCCATTTGCTTAAAATATATTTTTTCCAACGCTTTACCTTGCGGTGATGCCTATCCTTGATATAATGGTATGTCTCTTGGAAACAGCAGGATAGATCCTGTTTTCATATCCCCTCTGTTGTCTGTGTCTTTTTATTGGGGAATTGAGACCGTTGATGAGTGTTGGTTCCTATTTTTTTGTTGGTGGTGGTGGTGGTGGTGGTGATGGTGGTGGTGGTAATAGGTGTGTGTGTGCTCGCTCACTCACTTGCACTCACGTTCACTTCTCTTCTTTGACTTTGTTGGTCTGGGATTATTGATTCCTTGTGTTTACTTGGATGTAGTTAACCTCTTTAGTTTACTTTCTAGCACCTTCTGTAGGGCTGGATTTTTAGATATTGCTTACATTTGACTTTATCGTGGACTGTCTTATTTTCTTCATCTATGTTGATTGAAGTCTGAGCTGGCATCTGCAGTCTCTTAAGAGTCTGCAGCACATCTGTCCAGGCCCTTCTAGCTTTTTAGAGTCTCCTTTGAGAGGTCAGGTGTAATTCTAAAAGTCTGCTTTTATATGTTTCTTGTTCTTTTCCCCTTGCAGCTTTTAATGTTCTTTCTCTGTTTTGTATATTCCGTGCTTTGATTATGTATGTGCTAAGGGGACTTTCTTTTCTGGTCAAGTCTATTTGGTGTTATGTATGCTCCTCGTACTGTGATAGGCATCCCTTTCTTTGGGTTAGGGACATTTTCTATGATTTTATTGAGAATATCTTCTGAGACTTTGACCTATGTTTATTCTCCTTCTTCTATTCCTATTATTCTTAGATTTGGTCTTTTCGGAGTGACCCAGATTTCCTGGGTGTCTGTGTCTGGCATTGTTTAGATTTAACATTTTCTATGACCAATGTATCCATTTCTTCTGTTGTGTCTTCAGTGCCTGAGATTCTTACATCTCTTCTTGTATTCTGCTGACGAAGCTTGCCTCTTTGGTTCCTATTTGAGTTCCTAAATTTTTCATTTCCAGATTTCCCTCAGTTTGGGTTTTCTTTATTGATTCTATTTCCACTTTCAGGTCTTGAAGAGTTTTATTCATTTCCTTCTACTACTTGTTTTTTTCATAGATTTCATTAAGGGATTATCCGTTTTCTCTTTAAGGACCCCTGTCATATTCATAAAGGCTGTTTAAGGGTTTTTATTTGTGCTTCAGCCCTGTTGGCATATGTCAGGGCCTGCTGTGCTAGGGTTGCCGGGTTCTTGTTGAGACATACTGTCCTGTTACTGTGTTTTTACTCTGGTATCTAGGCATTTGGTATTGGGAAGATTGTAATTCTAGGTGCTGATATCTGGTCTTGTTTTGTTTGGTGTGTGTTTTGTTCCTTGGTTCTATTTCTGTTCTCCCTCTTAGCTTAGGAGAGTGTGGTGGCTGTGTGTTGCCTGTAGGAAAATCTTCTGGGGTCCTGATAGGTGTGGGCATTGGGGGTTCAGGTAAAATGTGCTTCTGGGTATTGGGACCTGAGACTTAGGAATGGGGATGGGCTGGGGGCAGTGAAGGGGCTTTAAAGAGGGAGGAAATCAGGGTGTTCCACCAGGATCTGCTGGTTAGTTCCCCGGGAAAGAGGACAGAGTGAAGAGAGGCCACAGCAGAAGACCTGCTATAGAGCTGGGGATGAGACTGAGGGATTGGTGGAAGGATGGAGGGAGAGGCGAAGATCTCCAGTTAGCCTACTTGCTTCCCTGGTCAGAGTGGCCTGTAGGTTCCCAAGGAGTGCCTGCTGGAGTTGGGGGCTGGGACAGAGCAGTGAGTGGGGGAAGGAATTCTGGAGGGGAAGACCTGTGTGATCCCCTGGAGGTGGGTGCAGGAGGGGAAGGGAGGCGGCAGTAGGTGTTCTGCTGCAGATCTAGGGGTGAGGCTGGGGACCTGGACTTGGAGGAGCAGAGAGAGGTGAAGATCTGCAATTAGCTTAACTGCTTCTCTGCCCAGCAGGCCTGCTGGGAAGACCCACTTCTGATCTAGGTTTTTGAGGGGGGAAGATGTACCTTTCATCTGAACCCCACCTATATAAAGGGAGTGAAAGAAGGAAGCTTGCCCTCCGCCTGCTCGCTCTTGATCTCACCAGAACTTCCATTCCTTCGCTGATATTAGAGTCTACCTCTTCAGGATTCCGGTGTACACTGGAAACCAGCTAAGACAGCCAGCCTTGTGGACTGAACCACTGCTAGGTTCTTGAACTTTCTGTTAGTAAACACCCATTGTTGGACTAGCTGGATCACAGCCTGTAAACCATTCAAATAGATCCCATATAGACAGACATTCATTCTGTAAGTTCTCTTCCTCTAGAGAACCTTGACTAATACACCTATTATTTTAAATAAGTTTTAGTAGATTTTTGTTGTTGTTTTTGAAACAGGCTTTCCTATAACCCAGACTGGCCTTGAACTTGCTATGTAGCTAAAGAGGGCTGTGAACTCCCAATCTTCCTGCCTCCACCTCCTTAGGGATTGGATAACAGGAGCATACCAGTCAACTCTTGATTTTTAAAAATATTTTACATTGTTGTGTGTGTGTGTGTGTGTGTGTGTGTGTGTGTGTGTGTGTGTGTGTGTGTGTGTGTTAGGGGGTGACAAGGTCTGTGCTTTTTCCTAGTAAACCACTGAAACCAGGTGTGGTCTTGAGGACTACTGACATAGATATGGTATCTCTTTTTTAAAGATTTATTTATTTATCATGTATACAATATTCTGTCTGCATGTATGCCTACACGCCAGAAGAGGGCGCCAGATCTCATTACAGATGGTTGTGAGCCACCATGCAGTTGTTAGAAATTGAACTCAGGACCTTTGGAAAAGCAGCCAGTGCTCTTAACCTCTGAGCCATCTCTCCAGCCCCATATGTTGTCTTTTTCAAGGTTTGTTTGTTTTTTATAGTATGTACCTGAGTGTCTTCGCCTTTGTGTATATGTACCATGTGCGGTGCCTGAGGAAGCCAGACGAGGACACTGGATATTCAGGAACAGGAGTTACAGATGTTCCTGAGCTTCCATGTGGGTGTTGAAAACCAAATCCTGGTCCTCAGAAGGAGCAGGTGAGTGTTGTGAGCCGTCTCTCTGGCCTGATTCATTCTTCTGTGTCTATGGCTGGATTTCACTGACTGATGTTTCCTTCAGATCTTACGTTCATGAAAGAAACTGGTCTGTAATTTTACTTTCTTGTAAAGACATTGTCAAATTGGGTATTAAGGTTAAGTTACCTTCATAAAATGACACAAAGCTAAGAATGTAGCTCAGTGACACCGTGCTTGCCTAGCATATGTAAGGCCCTGGGTCTGATCCTCAGCCACAAAAAAAGCATGGGGCAAAGGAGGGAAAGAGGAAGGAGAAGGAGAAGGAGGAGAAGGACGAGGAGAAGGAGGAGGAGAAGAGAGGAAAACGAAGGAGCAGCAGCAGCATTGCTTGGCATGATGATGCATACGTGTAATCTCAGTACTCAGGAGGCTGAGGTGGGATGATCGGACATTAAGGCTGTCCTGGACTGTATAGCAAGACTCTGTCTAAAATGAACAAATAAGGGGCTGGAGAGAGAGCTAGGAAGTTAAGAGCCCTTGCTACTCTCCCAGAGGACTGAAGTCGGGTGGCTCACATCCACATGTAGACACATACACCTATGCATAATTAAAAATAACAATAAAGATAAATCTTTAAAAAATAAAATGAAGCAGAAGTTTCTTTTTCTAGTCTCTGGAAGAGATTAAGAGATTGGGTGTCATTTTTTCCTCAAATATTTGTGAAATTTCACTGATAAAGCTAAATCTGGAATTTTCTTTTTTGTGTGTGAACATCTCTAAATTCTTTTAGTGTATTTAAGACAGTTTCGATCTTCTACTTCTTGAGTAAGGTTGGGATACTCTTGTTTTTGCAAGAGGTTCCCATTCTTTGAAATGAAATTCCAAACATCACGGTTGTGAAGTTTTTCACACATTCATCATGCTCCTTATTATCTGTAATAGCCACAGGGACATCCCCTTTTCCTTCCTGGTACCGTTTGTGTTTGGGGATTGTTTTGTCTTGCTCTGAGGCACTCAGAACTGAACTTGAGACTCGTGAGGCTCCTCTGAATCCTGGCAGGGTAGCCCCATCTTGCAGCAAGCTGCCATTTAACTTTCCCAAGTTCCAGAGGGCAGCAAAGCGGCCAGCCTTCCCACTGTTGGACAGTGTTTCCTGAGAGCAGCAGAATCCCAGACAGCAAGTAGGATGGATACGCACAGACTTTCCCAGTTCTGGTTTGGTCTGTGCCTTTTCTCTGAGCCTGCGGTCACCCCCAGCACTTAACACTAGGTAGCGCTCTCAACCTAAATTTGCAGCCATCTGCTGCACTGTTTTTCTTTAAAAAAAAACGTTGTTTGTCCATGCATCCTGTGTGTGTGTGTGTGTGTGTGTGTGTGTGTGTGTGTGTGTGTGTGTGTGAGAGAGAGAGAGAGAGAGAGAGAGAGAGAGAGCAGATGGGTGTGTGCCCATGCCACCACTAGAATGTGGAGACTAGAGGACAACTTTGAGGAGTCATTTCTGTCCCTCATGTGGTCCTGGAGATCAAACTCAGTTGCTCAGCCATCTCACCAGTATATATGTATAAGCATTTAGAGCCATAGAAAAACGGGACTTTCTGGGCCGGCAAGACGGCTCAGTGAGTAAAGGCTTTTGTCACCAATCCTGATACCTGAGTTCAGTCCCCAAGACCTGATGGTGAAAGGAGAGAATCAGCTCCCTAAAGTTGTCCTCTGATGACCACATGCTTGCGATGGCATGGGTATGCTCACACACACACATACACACACACACACACCATGTACTCACCCACAGTATCCATGCACACACATGAAATAAGTAAATGTGATTAAAAACAAATTGGAGCTTCCTAAGGGGAAAGGGGCTGGTGACTTCGGGGGCGGGGGGGGGGGGGGGGGGGGGGGGGGGGGGGGGGAGAATGCAGCTGCCCGGAGGTCCCCATAAGTGACCCTTAATAAATCATTTTATTCAAGATGAACTTGAGGGCCAAAAGTGATGGCGCATGACTTTAATCTCAGCCCTCAGGAAGCAGGGACAGGCAGATCTCTGTGAGTTCGAGGCCAGCCTAGTCTACATATCGGGTTCTGGGGTAGCCAGAGCTACAGTAGAGAGACCCTGGCTAAAACAAGAAAGATGAACTTGAATGAATTATTCTTGGAGTTGATGGGGCAGATGTTATTCTACATAGAAAAGTCTCACAGCACAGAGCCTCAACACTGACACCGTGTGCTGCTTTCCTTGCTGAGGACCTGACTTTCCTCAGTTCTCATTTCCTGTCTGGCCAAATAAAGACTTCAGCACTTACAGTGCAAGAGCCTCAAAAGCAAAATGCCTCTTTAGCCCTCTCCTCTCCGTCATGGTGTCCCCCAAGGCAGGCCACTGGAACTATAATTCTCTTCCCTAAGACAGATCACAGAAATTGGGACTCTTTTTCCCCAAAGCCAGCCATAAATCAAAAAAACAGCAACAACAAACCCCATTCTTCTCACCACCCCCTAGCCTTTCCTTGTAACAGCTGGTCGTGAAATGAAGACCTTTGTTCCAGAGAGGCCTTGCTCCACAGCCGGAGGAAGGAATGCGGTCATGGAGAGGCTCAGCATGAGCAGACGGGCCTTGCTGGGCTTCTGCCCCAGGCTGTTTCTGTCACTCAGACCCTTCCTGTCCAATCACATTTCTTCATGCCACCTGTTCTGTTGCAAAACAGCAAAAATTGATAGCACATCAGGGACAGTGGGTCTCCAACCCAAAGGCTCTCATGTCCCATAAAACCCTGGTCTGGTGAATTTGCAATGCATTACTTTGGTTAATGTGTCTTTTGTCACAAAAGTGCAAGCCAAGACCCTTTAGGATAGAACAGAAAGGGGTCCTCCTGTTTTCTCTCCCTCTGCAGCTAATTCTATTTTCTTGTATCTGAAAATGTGTTTCCGCTTCATTCTCGGGGCCTGTTCCTGGTGAACAAGGAATTCTGAGTGCTCCATCTCTCTCGGGCTGTTAGAGCTGTTGTGGGCTTACTTCTGGCCTGTGAGCTTCCGAGAGCCAGCTGGTTGCAAGTCCCCTGTATGTGCTGCATGGCTTTTGCTCTCAGGGTTGGGCTGTGGTGAGCAAGGGCAGAGCCTTAGCATACGCAAGGCCCTGGGTTAGAGCTCTGCCCCAAACCCAAGCAACTAAGCAGCACATTTGCTCTCACCTTTAGTTACAGTATGACTGTGAGACACCTAGATAGAGGCCTTTTTCTTTTCTCTCACTGTGCATCCCTGGCTGGTCTAGAATACCAGGCTGGCCTTGAGCTCACAGAGATCCACTTACCTCTGCCCCCTGAGTGCTGGGATTAAAGATGAGTACAAATATGCCTGACTAGATATGGACTTTAAAATACTGTCAGTGTGGGCTTATTTGGTATTTCAAATATGTACATGTCTCTTACCAAATCTGGGGACTATGTGACTGTCATTTATTTAAATATTCCTGTCTGCTCGTTTCTTTCTCTTTGCCTCCCAAGCTCTAATTATATTTGTTAGACAGTCTGATACTATCTAACTAGTTCCCAAAACTGGGCTGTCCTATTTCTCTTCTGTCTGTTCTTTGGTTTGGATCATTTCTGTTGTCTGTCTTCCAGGTCACTAGACTGTTAAATCAGTCAGAGGTAGAATAGAAAGAAAAGGCTGAGGGGACATGGGAATGGAAAGAAGCCCTTTACACACACACACACACACACACACACACACACACACACACACACACACACACACACACACCCTCACCCGGTGGAGACGGTTGGCATGCTGGGCTTGTCTGTAAAGCTAGCATCCAGGAGGCAGAGACTGGAGGATTGGCAGTTTAAGGGCAGCCTAGGGGCAGCAAGACGACCCTGTGGGCAAAGGCTCTTTTCATCAAGACTAATGACCTGAGTTTGATCCCTGGGACCCAAATGATTAAAGAAGAAAACCAACTCCCCAAGTTGTACTCTGCCCTTCATATGTATTCCATGATATGTACGCAGCTCCCCCCAAACATACAAATAAATAAATGTGAGCTAGGGAGCTGGCTCAGTGATTAAGAGCACTTGTTGCCTTTGTAGAGGACTTGGGTTCAGTCCCTAGCACCCACATGGTGTAATTCCAGCCCCAGGGGATCTAATGCTCTCTTCTGATCTCCTTTGGGACCAGGCACAAATATAATGCACATTCATACTTGCAGGCAAAACACTCATACACATAAATCTATTTTTTTAAAGAGTTCAAGGTCATCCTCACCAACATAGTGAGTTTGAGCCTGAACTGCACTACCTGAGACTTTGTCTCAAAATAATAGAAAATAAAATATGATTGTGAAAGCCCCAGAAGACAGAGAGAGAAAGGGAGACAGAAAAGATGTAAATGAACATGCTGCCTTTTCTGAGAGATATTGCAAAGAAGAGTGTTAAAAAAAAGTAAATGAAGGCAGAGATCTCTGTGAGTTCAAGGCCAGCCTGGTCTACATATGGAGTTCCAGGACAGCCAGAGCTACATAGAGATATCCTATCTTTAAAAAAAAAGTAGCCAGGTGGCGGTGGTACATGCCTTTAATTCCAGCACTTGGGAGACAGAGGCAGGCAGGTCTCTGAGTTCTAGGCCAGCCTGGTCTACAAAGTGAGTTCCAGGACAGCCAGAGCTGTTACACAAAGAAACCCTGTCTTGAAGTGGGGGGGGGGGGAAAGGTGGGGAAAAAAAAAGGTAAGTAAATGTAGCTCAGTGGTAGCATGCTGGCCTACCATGCAGGAAGCCACTAGTTCAGTTCCCAACACCACATAAAAGCAGATGTGTTGTCCAACATCTATAATCCCAGCACTTGGGAGGTGAAGCAAGAGGATCAGAAGAAGCTCAGTGTCATCCTGGGGCCATCGTAGGGCACTAAGACCCTGTGTCCTAAGAGAAAAAGAAATATAATTTTTCAGCCATTATAACTTTTATTCCAGGATTTCAAGAATCGTTCACTGTTCTCTGTAGAGGTTGCCTGTCTTTTTCTCCACTGAGAACATGCTTTCACCAAAGCTTTACCGTCTTCCTTAATTCCAGTATCTGAACTGAATCAGCCTACATGGCAGCAGTTTTAAGTGCTAGATTCTAAGTCCTATGGCTTCTGTTATTTCTCTCCCAAAAGTGATGTTTCTTTTACCAAATAATTAGCTTGTTTGGGTAACAGCATAAATCATACTTAGGTCTCCTACTTTTCCATTTCTTTCATTTTACGGTGCTGGGGGTAGAACCCAGGGCTTTGCACATGCCAGCTCTGGTTCAGAGCTACACCTCTGCTCAGATCTCCATACCCTCGTCCCTATTTTTTTCTGTTTGTTCGCTTTGCTTTGGTTTTTAAGACAGGGTCTTACTTTGTAGCCCTGGCTGCCTGGAACTCACTATGTAGACCAGGTTGGTCTTGAACTCACAGAGATCTGCCTGGCTCTGCCTCTCAAGTACTTGGATTAAAGGCCACCATTAGCTCTCAGGCTGCCCAAATATCCAGAAATAAGCTCAAACTGGATTATAGGAAGATTTCTGGTGCTTAGATAAAAACCAGCTTTTCTCGGGAACTTGTGAAGCTGGTTCACATCTGCCAAAGGGATTCTGAGCCATCTCCCCAGTCTTCCAAATTGTATTAGATGTATACAAACT